CTGTCTCTCTGAGGTGAAAGATGGGGCCCAAGACACGTGTTGCTTTTAGTACCAAGCTCACAGTCATTGCTCTTTCAGTGGAAGAGACATGTATGGGGATGGGATGGCATGAGGGATACTGGCATGGGGAGGGATGGGTGAAAGAAGTTCAACTCACTTTGGTGATAAGTGAATTAGTGTGATTGATGTAGGAAAAAGGATAGGAAGCCATGGGGAATTTAAGGAAGAAAAGCCTGAAGAACAGATTTCTTTGCAACGTGGGAAGGCTGGCAGTAAGTCATAGTAACAGTAACTATGAAAGACTTGGCTATTTCAGTTCTGCTGACTGCTTTATTATGAACAAGCTGTTAGCACAGTCCATCTTAAGGCTGTAGAATTACTTCCAATGTTTAAAACCCCCATCTGAAGGCCAAGAAAGTCACAATGAACCAGCTGAGATAAAAATTTCCTGAGCTGGGGTTGTGCTTCAGGCTAAATTTGTTTGGGAACATTCAGCCAAAATTTTTTTCATCCCTTTCTAATGGCTAACATTGTTCTTAGAAATCCATTGTTTATCTGACCTTCTCCTAACCCGTTAGAAAAATTTCTGGTGCTATTTTCCTTTCTCAGTTTAATGCTTTGAAGCATTACACGCGGAATTTGGCAGGAGGCAGCTTTCTGTTAGGAAGACACATTGCACCAGCTCTCTAAAACTGTGCTCAAACTTGGCTGTGTTACAAGCACTTGAAAACCCAGTTCGCGTGCACTTGATAGAGCTCTCAGTTCTCAATCTAAAATTCCCCCGAGATGTCAGAGCGGAGCAGGTGGTGGTTACTGCCGGCTGCCAGGGGCTGCTAAGGGCGAATGACAAGTGTGAAGCTGGTCTCTGCCATGCACCCCTTGCCCCTTCCAGCACCAAAATGGTCGGGGGAGAAGCCATCTGAGCGAAGGCAAAACAGCGAAAAGAGAGATTGTGTGCTGGAAAAAGGAAGTGGAGGAAGGATCCAAAAAAAGTCTGGGACTAGGTGGGAGACCATGTTTTCTGGGCTTAGAAAAGGCCCAGAAAAGAAGGAAGGTTTCTGGGGTCTGCACCAGCCCCAGCTCTGCTGTAGCCTGGGAGATGGATAGCCAGGGAAAGAGAGCAGCAGGTTTCACACTAACCAATGTTGTTCCAAGAGGCTTTGTTCCTTCAGAATGAAAAATTTCTGGGATTTGTGTCCGTCTACATCTGAGGTGTTAAGGGGAAAGCAGTCAGCCTGCTGGGATTTGGAGGAAAAAATTCTGAAAGCTCATGGAAATATTCATGCTATGTGACCAGTGCTTCCTGGCTGGCTCCAGGCTTGAAGCAAAGAGGGAGGGAGAGAGGGGTGTTTCTTTGGCCATTGGAAGGGTTTCACCCCACATTTGTGGAGAGAGAAGTATGTGATGCTGGGTAATAACTGCGACATCAGTTTTCATGAACAGGCACTAATATGTGACCTCCATGTCCAGGGTGCCAAAGCTGTGACCCTGCAGGAAGATCTGCAGAAGCTGCTTGCAGCCTCAGCTGGGAGCTGGGCAGGTGCCATGCAGGGACAGCTGTGTGTGGCACCTTCTAGACTTTTTCTCTCATGTACCAACACTTAGAAGATCATTTGCTTCCATTGGTGGCATCTCAGAGGGATGCTCTGGGGACAAATGGCTGCCTGCTCCTCACCCATGCAAGCCTCATGTTTCACTGTGGAAAAGCCCATCTAAGCCACCTTTATGGGCAGGGTGTGAACAGTAGGTGGCAAAATAGACTTTGAAGACAAATGCTCTAATTAAAACCAGATTAGTAAGTGATCATCATCTATTCTGTGCACTGAATAAAGGAAATATAGCATGTAATTATAATTAAATATGATCTTATGGACAATATGAACAAAAAGGCTCAACTAAAATTGCCTAAAAAAAGAAAAATACAGGCAACTCCTATCTTGCTTCTGGATGCTTTGTTTTGAAATATTAATTTTTTTTTTCCTTAAAGATATGTTTATGTTTGTATTTCAGTGTCTTCACTCAAAGAATGGTGATGTCTGCATGTAACTTCTGTAATTCCACTAAGCTCATCTCTAAATTGACTGTGCACAGTCAAAGACATGCACCCAGTGCAGCAGCTTTTCTCTTTCTCTCTGTCAGAAAGAGATTTGTTGTCTATTGTTTCTTTGCTGTCTTTGAAAACTGTTCTTTTGAAATTATGAATCTATAGCACTTTTTCCACTCCTATGCAGGGCTGGCCATCCATGCTACTAGGCAAAAGTGAAGGAGCTGTCAAGTTTGCAGGAAAGGATCATTTACCAAATGACCTTTAAGAAAGATGTCAATTGGGAACTCAGTGTCAGTGTAGATTTTTGTTTTTCTTAAGCTGATGAATTTCTCAGGTTGCAGCTTTGTCACTTTATGTCAAGGCTGAGCCATAGGAAGCAAGAGTAGCTGGAGAGTTCCTATTCTGATGGCCTTCCAAGGTGATGATCATTAAAATTAAATCCACTCTCTGAATTCTGATCAACTATCCTTGTTAGAGCCCACAGGTGAATGGTGGGAGTTCAACAGCCTCTGGCTCTAGCCAAGGTAAGCAAAACTGAAAGGACCTAGGTGGATGTTTTTCAGCTGAAATTCATAAAGGTCGATCTCAAAATAGAGTGAAACAGGTAAGGTAGCATCCCTTTACTGGTGGGGTGATGAGGAAATGTCCGCTGACATTCTTGGGACCACATTTCCCATCTTTCCTCTGTCATCTGAGGGCGTGGGTCACTAAAATCAATATAGGAGGAAGCCCTTGATCACCTTTTATCATTCAACCAACTCCTGCTCAAGTCAGCCCACTGAATAGGGAACTGTTCCAGCTCTGTCTCCTGAGACCTCAACACAAGAGCTGTTTGAAATGTGGTGGGTATTCAAAAGCCAACAAACTTCCAGGCTACACCACAAACAGATTTCAGGTCTGGTGGCTCTCCCAGGCTGGACTTGCCAAGAGTGCCCTCTGTCCCATCAGCCATGTTGTTAATAACCTAAATCTTATCAGCCCCAGTATAGACACCTAAGGGACGTCACTGGTGATCAGCCACCAGCTGGACTCTGTGCTGCTAATCTCACTTCTTTCAGCCCCACAATCTGAACAATCACCCACCCACTTTATCAGCTACCCTGCCAGTCTGTATGTCACTGATTTAGCCAAAAGGGTGCTGTAGAAATTGGTGTTAAAGGCTTTACAGTGTCCAGGAAATAAATGAGACACGCTGATCTCATGCTTTGAGGAGGTTGCCTTCAAAGAACAACCAGCTCTCCTGGGCCCCTTCACTCTCCAGGGCAGCTCCCTTTGGGATCCTGCAAAGGAGATCTCTGGATAAAATGAAACCTGCTCTTCTGCAGTTAAGGGCAGTAATGTTATTTGTACTTGCTGATTTCTTGCAGGACTTAGTATTTCACAGTTTTATGGTTGCTGCAGGGAAATTTATCCTTGACCATCATATCCTGAACCAATTCCTCCTATTTTGTGAACAGCAAACCCAGCACAGCATCTCCTCCAGTTGTCTCATCAGTCATGTGCGTCATGAAGCTGTCTTGAGCACAATTGAGAAACCATCCAGATTATGCCTGACCATGCAGCCCTTCAATTAAAGCACGCTGTGAGTTAGTCCTAAGGCCTGTAATTGTGAGGGATGGCTCTATTGACTTTCTCTCCTTTCCCAAGAAGTCTGTTGTGAGTGCCTGGCACAACACTGCCCATAGCACTTTGTCACCTTCTCCCTGTCCACAGGCACTCAGCCCATCACCTCTCCCATGGCCAGGTGCTGGGCACTTCTCTGCACGACACACAACCACTCCTCACTGTTTCCAGCCTGTGCTTCCTGAAGACACTGTGCCTATTGTGGCAGCTCTCCAGATATGTGAACTACCCCAGCATGTCTCTGTAACTCAAAAGAAATCACAGTTCTGCAGTTGTGTGGGAGCTGGTAATTCCCCCAGTTGTTTTCCATTCTACATATTTGTTTAAAACTACCTGAGACAAATCCTGAAACCTGAGTCATGATGCTTTCAAAACAGGATCCTGCTGTGGAGACTCCAGCAAGGTAACATCAGCACACAGATAATGAGCATGGAGGTGTCTCCCCTCACAGGGAAAAGGGCATTTGAGGCCCTGGCTGCACACCAGCACTGCCTGCACAGCATTTGTAGGTGCATTGCCTTGCAGCCTGAGCTCTCCATCACTGCTGCAGCAGCTGCTCCATTAGGAGATTTTCCTCTGATCATGCTGAGATCACAGATCAAGCTGTGATGGCTTTACTGCTTCTTTTAATCTAGAGCTGACTGTCCTAAGGGCAAGGTTTATTAATCTCTGATGGCAGAGATGCCAGGAGCACACAGCTGTGCTGCTTCAGGAAATATTTTTACTGACTCCATAATTGTGTTGGCATTACTGCTGCCCCAAAGGCTGGATATTTGAGGCACCTTGTAATACATGTGACTTCTTCCTTGTAGCTGAGCTGTGTTCTACAAATGCTGAGATCATTGTGCTGACTGACATTTGGAGTTTGGTAAAAAGTTTTAATCCTAGAAACATAAATTATTTTTAAAATCTCAGGTGACTGTTTTAAGCTAATTTCTGTAGTAAGTTCTGTTAGGGAATGTTTGATCTAACCTGAACTTTCCCAAGTTCCAATGAAACCTATCCTTAGCCTGCAAACAGAAACCTGTATGACTTGTGTTTCAGAGCTGCTTCTTCCTTGACTTGCCAGTGCTGACAAGAAGGTGACACACATTTAAACAAACTTTTTCCAAATCGCCCCATGAGAATGCAGCAAGACTGGCTGCTTGTAAACTTCTCGTTGTTTGTGAGAGAAGGCATCCAAACACCCAGGGCTCACCCAGCCCTGCCCCACTGAGGGCATTGTTAGCACCACCCGCCACTTACAGCAGCAACAGAGGCACAGCCCTCAGCTCAGGCTTTGGAAAAAGAAGAGGAGGAGGAGGAGAGATGATCTTCGTCACCACTCCCCTAAGGCTGAACAGAGCAGAGGAGGAGCTTATAATTAGAGCCAAGTTTTGCATTCAAAAGGCAGCAAGTGCAGGGAGAGAGGAGCAGCAGAAAAAGACAGTGTGGGGAAGGAGAGGAGGAAGCAAGGAGAAAGGGGCAGCTGTCAGGGCAAGAAAGTGGGAGGGAGGAGAAGAGAAAAGGCAAAGGGAGGCAGCAACAGTCTGGGGGGTCAAAAGAGGAAGATCAAGGGGTAGACAGGCTGCAAAATGGCATTGCTCCTGTGGCTGGGCTCCCAGCTGTCATCCGTCTGGAGCAACATCTCTATACTGGGAGTTTTTCTTACAGTGTTTACTTTACTGCTTGACTTCATGAAGCGCAGAAAGACCTGGAGCCGTTACCCGCCAGGCCCGGCCTCGCTGCCGTTCATCGGGACCATGTTCTCCATTGACTTCCACAAGCCCCACCACTCCTTCCACCAGGTGAGTGGCAGCCCCTGAACAAAACACTCCACGTACAATCCACCGTGGGCCCAGGAGGGGTGGGTCACACCCTGGCAGCAGCTACAGATACATAACGCAGAGTATAGGAATTTGCATTTCCCCTGAAGTTGCTAGATAGAGCTTTAAGACTAACTAGCAAAAAAAGATAAAATAATGCAAAATTATGTACAGAGAGTGATAAACATAGCTGGAAACAGTGGATAAACAGATTATGAGGAATATAGTGGGTGTTTTGGCAAGTTATGTAACAAGAAACAACAGTACATGGCCACAGAAAATGTTTGAGGAAAGGTCACCGGTGATATTGAAGCACTCAGTGAGTGTGACTCCCAGAGACACCTTTAGGTGACTTGCTAGGACCATAAAAGGACAGACACGTGCACGTAAGTCCTATGAAAAGTGATGTTTATGTAGTAACTGGGAAGCACGCTGTAGTGAACATGTATGATCATGATGGAATAAATACCCTGTTGTAAAGTTTAATGACACTCTTTCTGTTAGAAGAGTCCAGTCCTAAATAAAGAATACCTGCTTTCTAATACTTCAGCTTATGTTAGAAAGTTTATTTTTGGCCAACTTCAGTATCACTACCTTGCTGAAGAGCAATGCTCTCTCCAAAGTCCAGGATGAAGCAAGTCACTGCCTAAGGACTCTAACCAAACAGGACTCTGGCCCAAACAGATTAAGAGATAATCACACACCAACACTCCCCGACCTCTATCTCCCCATCTCTGTATGAGCTCAGTGGGACACCACTGCTGTGCCCCAGTGATAGGTGCTGGCTGTCAGCCTAACATGTGGGCAGGCTTGGACACAGAGGAGCAGGGGGATGTACTAACGAGAGGAGACAAAGAAGTATCTGTGGGCTGGGAATGTGGCTGCAGGAATGGCAGGCTTCCCTGTGAGTTACTGAAGCATGCCTGCAGGCATGTGACAGTTTCAGTTAAAGGGACCAGCTTGTGGGATTTTCCCCAGCAGCAATGCTCAAAAATCTCAGTAGTGTTCCTATTCAAAGTCAGGGCTTAGCTTTTCTCAAAGGGAAAGCATGTCTTTAACGGCTTGCAGCAGAAAAACCATGGGTGTTTTGTGCTTCAGCTTGCAAACTCTAAAGGCCTCTTTTCTAGGACAGCACTATTCAGCTGCCTGTCCAAAACCTGCCAAGTGGAGAAACTAAATATAGCATTTGTATTATTTGCTTGCAAGTAGCCCAAAAGCTTACCGTTTTCAAATCATATCATGTCAGGGTCATGCTAACTGCAATCTTGAGCAGTAATAATTTTTAATGATGTATTTCTAGTGCCAGTGAAGTGCTAATTCCCTTTTCAACCCTACTGCAAATACAATATTAAGTACTTCAGCTTCTTGCAGTATTACAGTGCAGAAATCAAGAATCTTAGCTTTCAAACAAAAACAAAAAATAAAATAAAACTGTGGGGTATTGCTACTATTGCATTGTCTTTAAACAACATACTTCTGAGCTTTGCTCCATGCTCCTGACTGGCAGGGGAAGTTTGACCTGCCTTCCCAGGAATCTGTCCTGTTAAAGGACTGGTCTAGCTGGGGAAGGCTTTGCTCCACGGCCAGCTCCCATGGTGAGTGTATGGCTGACAGGATTACCTGTGCAGCCATCCTGATTCAGCTTTATGAGGCTTACAGATCACAGCAAATATAAGGTGTCATACTAGATGTGTACACTCCTTTTAGGGAGAAAGTTGACCTGAAACTCCAGTGTGGAATTGCCTTTCCCCACCGTGTTTCTGGAAACTTGGCTCTGCCTAGGCCTTAGGTACAAATGCATCTTTAAGTAAAAATTACATATCACTTATTATCAATACTTTCTTCAGCAGAAGTAGACTAACTCAAAACTTGCTTAGTCTTTTAGATCAAAATAAATAGAAACATTAGGAAATAATTAATCATTGAGTATTCAGTCTTTAAAAAGCCCCAAAAAGGTTCTTGACAAAATTAAAAGTACTTGCACAGTGTTCATGGCAACAGTTTGGCCAGGATAGGTGTATTTTAAATTTTTCCATTTACAGGGCATTGATCCCTGCTACAGCTGCTGCTTGCCACTGTTCAGAGCTGTTGCACTGCAAAGATAAAGGTCAAAGATCAGCTGAAGATCTCTGAATAAAAGTATCTCAAAGTTCACTAAATAAAAAAAGCCCTAGGGAAGGATATGCTGATGTTTCTGATGTTACACTCAGCTCATTTTCAGGAACATGCTTTTTTATCTTGGCAGCTTCAGAAGAAGTTTGGAAACATCTTCAGTCTCCAGAACTGCTGGAACAACGTGGTAGTTCTGAATGGGTATAAAACAGTGAAGGAAGCTCTGGTCCACAAATCAGAAGACTTTGCTGACCGGCCGCACTTTCCAATATATGAACATATGGGCTATGGAAAGAATTCTGAAGGCAAGTCCCATGAAAATGGACATTCCTTGATGGCACTAGCATGATAAGGATTGGGTAGATTTTCTCAGCATGGTGCACCTTCACCCTATCCCCCAGTCAACCTGTTTGTATGCCTGGCACCCTTTGGTGGCAACAAACTCGGATTGATTAAATGGGGGCTCCCCTTGGTGGTTATAATACGGCTCCAGCAAGCACACACTTCTGCTCTGTAAGGACACTATAAGTGGTACAACTTTTCTGCCAGCTCCCAACACCCACAGATTAGTGCTTATGCTGCTTATGTAAGACAAAATGCTTATGCAAAATGTTACATGTAAGTTGTTGCAAAAAAATATAGTGACTTTTGTTCAAGACAGAGTCTTTTCCTGCCTTCTGCCCACATCACAACCTCAGCTCCTGTGTGGTGGCACAAGCTGTTTCCCAGTTCACAATGAACTGGAACAATGCTGAATGGTTTGGAGGGGGTGATTCCTTTATCCTTGGCAGCCCTGGTTGATCCCAGTGGATCCCCCCTGCACCTTTGCCAGCCATGCACAGGTATTAGAAGGTTCTCTGATCCATTTCAGAATTGCTGTCTGAACAAACTGCACAAGGTCTGACTGTTCTATCTGTCCACTCACCTGTACCTGGATATACAGAGTACCTCCAGACTCACTTTGCTGTTCTCTAGCAAAATTTGCTTGATGTACAAGTCAGATATCTGACATTTCTTGCTCATCCACAATTCCAGGGGTTGTTGTAGCAAGATACGGGCACGTCTGGAAGGAGCTAAGGAGATTCACACTCTCTACGCTGAGGAACTTTGGGATGGGAAAGAAATCCCTGGAGGAGCGAGTGATAGAAGAAGCTGGCTTTCTTTGTGCTGAAATAAAGTCTGAAGAAGGTTTGTGACATGCACAAGGATGGGGAAATCACAGAAAAAGGCAATACAGTGATGCAGAGAGAAGTAATACTACAGCCACTCCTGTTCGCATGCAGTGCTCTCTTCCCGTGAAAATGCAGTGTTTCTAGTCGGTGTGCACTCCTTGGAGCCACTTCTGCTTTACACAGTGGGGCAACTGTAACACTAATCCATTTGAAACAGTAAACAAAGAGGAAATTAGAAACAGAGAGGTAAAAGAGAAATATTCCCAGAGCTCAGTAACTCTAACCTTATGAAGTTTAGTGGAACATATTGATACTATCACATGCAATAAAAGTGCAGCTGAGAGTTCACAGCCTGTTATCCAAACACAGAGCAAAGTGTTACCTGTCAAGTCACAGAACAGCCCTACAACTCAGTTTTTCTTCTGAGTTTTCTTCTTTAAACATAGATCAACCAAATATTAGTAAGAATGATATGATCTCCACTTCCTAGTGTGGTGCTTTGAGTGGTTTGGGGGCTTTTTCTCCTGGTGTCATCAAGGTGGTATTTGTGTATTTTCATTGCTGACAGATGAGGTCCAGCAGTTTGGTGTTGCTGAGCTTCATGGCTTGGTCTCCATTTCCATTTTCAGGTAAATCTTTTGATATACATGTTCTTATAAATAATGCTGTCTGCAATATGATTTGCACCATTGTCTTTGGAGACCGTTTTGACTACGGTGATGAGACATTCAACAAGCTGTCACAGTTATTTCAAAATTCCTTGAATGAAGAAACTGGATTCCTGCCTCAGGTAAGCCACAAGCTTCCCTCTATTGTTTGAGGGGATTGTGTTTTCATAATTTTCCTTTTTTTGCATCATGTAATATCTTCTCTCTCTCTCACTCTCTCTGGTCCTCACACTCCAGTTTCTTAATGTGGTGCCCATTTTGTTGCGCATCCCTGGAGTGCCACAGAAAGCCTTTCGAGCACAAAAGGAGTTAATGGACTTCATAGATGTGGTCATAGATAAGCATATGAAGACATGGGACCCTGCTTACACCCGAGATCTCACAGATGTGTTTTTAAAGGAGATGGAGAAGGTAGGGTGACACTAGCAGACCCTCTGGGGTCAGGAGTAGTTTCTTTGCCTGTTCAAGCTTGTGAAGCTGACTTTCCTCACAGAGCTACATAAAACCTCTTACCAACTCATTTCCTACTTTTTCATTCCACATTGTATCTTGAGAAGATATTCTTCATGCTATAACCTCTTTTACTGGTTAAGACACCATGTTATCTGCTGATGTTCTTGTTTCCGTTTTCTGCCTTGGCATTTCCTTCAGAATCTAGAAACTTCCCTCTTTCCAGCCTACAAATATTTGAAGGCTCTTAAAAGGCAATGATTGAGAATTCATTAATTGTCCTAGGTTTGCACCAGGGAACAAGTCAGCATGCAAGATTCTGTGTAATGTCAGTGCTTCAATGACTGATGCCTCAAAATCAATCACAAAAGTGGAGCAGCATATTGACTTTTTGTGTCATTGCCCCATCCATAGCCTGCTGTTAAACCAAGTTATGATTTGAAACTAGTGTCTCCTTTGGCATGTATGTTTTTGAATTACTTGCTAAGAACTAGTTATCTAGATATCAGAGGAAGGCCTAAATCTGAACTCCATTGAAATTAAAAGGAGTCTTTCCTTTAATTCAGTCAGGCACAAAGTCAGTATAAAATCAAAGATATTTGGTCAGCCCGTCCATCTGCCATATGTTTCTGCACATGGATTCACTGAATTTCAAGTGCCAGATGAGCAATATTGGCAAATTCTGCTTGCAAGTCACTTCCACCATCCAAGTCCTCAGGCTGGACTGCTGCTTTGCATAACAAACCCTGCCATGCTGTGGGTGTCGGGCACCTCAAGCCCATGCATTGCCCCCCCAGCTTGCATGGGCAGAGCAATGTGACCCACATTACTCTGCACTAAACAGTACAGCTTGGAGCTGGATGTAAGCCTGACCGTGGTCACATCTCTCTTCTGTTCACTAACATCACCTGATAAGCCATTCTGATAAATCCCTCTCCTGAGTTAACTTTGGTCAAGTCAGTCCCAAACTCCCTTGTCTGAGATCTTTTATAGGAATACCAGTTGAGTCTTAAATGCATTATTAATTGCTATCCATATTACAACAGCATCTAAATATACAGTATAACTTAAGAGGAGCTAGTCCTTAGGAAAGGGAAGTATAAAGAGGATTAGAAAAGACAAGCAGATGAACTCATGCAGAGAGGTTGTCATATCTCATATGCTAACAAATTTGAGCTCAATTAGCATTTGGATGAGAGACCAGTTTTGCTGAGAGTGGTGTTGCAGACTTAATAGGCAGCAATAATCCTTTAACCTGATAACCCTGATCCTTTTTTTTTTTTTCAATTGTAAGAAAATACCAGGGCAGGAGCAGTGAAAATCTGTAATGCATAGCTAGAGATAACTGCCTTAAAATAATGCTAATTTTGCATTTGCCACATCAGAACAGCCTCCTCTCTACTCTGCGGCTTTTATCCTCTGATCAAGCCTGAATAACTGTGTTCCAGCTCCTGTGGGGGAAGATGTTACAGTGAGTGGCAAGGGCCTGCTGTGTGTTTGAGCTGAGAGTGCAAGGCATTTACTTCTGTCCTGAAGGCAGGGGTAGAATTCTTCTCTGAGTATATTGGGGGTGGTTGAGGACTTTCAAATACAGGAGTTAACACAAAGTACATCAGTCATGCTCAGACTGTTGCCTGTGCTGTGCTTTACTCTCACAATGAAAAACAGGAACACATGCTAAAAATGGATCTACTGCTTCTCAGCACTTCTCTGGACAGTGGTCTTCTTGACAGCTCCAATCACCCACTTTTTTTCTCTCCACAGGGTAAGGCAGCTGAAGAGAATGGTTTCCACTATAGCAACCTTCGTCTGGTGGCCGTAGACTTGTTTACAGCTGGTTCTGAGACCACCTCCACCACTCTTCGGTGGGCATTGCTTTATATGCTTCTCCACCCAGAAATACAGAGTAAGTTAAAACTTCCTTACAGAAGTGTAGCCTCTTCCCTTCAAGACTCATTTTTTCCACAAGGGTTTCGCAATGAGGAACAGCAGTTCATGGATTTTGCAATGAGGAACAGCTTTGGTGAATGTTAGTCTAGGAGAAACACGGGAGAAACACTTCCCAAACAGCTGTTCAGAGGGGTAGCTGTGATAAAAAGACTGGAGTTCAAAGGGCAAGTTTGCTCCTGCCTTCATTTTGAGGGCTTCACCTGGGAACTTGCAGTGATCAGTGTACCCTCTTCAGCATTTGGAGTAGATACTAATTGGTTTAAATCCTCTAATGCTGTTCGCCTAGGTAGCCTTCAAGCTGCAGAGGGGAGGGGTAAGGTAGCATGTCAAATAGAAAGGCCTTTATTAAAGATGCTATGAGCAAGGAACAGTTTTACAGAGTCACCAATCAACTAAAAAATGTCTTCCCATCGGGTTTCTGTTTCTGTCTCTAACTGCTTGTCCTGTTCTCATACAGTGCCTACAATCTCATGCAGCCAGTCTTCCTTCAGCTTCTGCTTCTGGTTATCTGAGGGTCCTCTAATTCTTTATCTGTTCTGCTTCCAGGTAAGGTTCAGGCAGAGATTGATAAAGTGATTGGCAGAGAGAGACCCCCCACCATGAAGGACCAGGCAAGCATGCCCTACACTAATGCTGTGATCCATGAAGTGCAGCGCTGCGGGGATATTGTTCCTGTTGGGCTACCTCACATGACATACCGGGACACTGAGTTGCAAGGCTTCTTTATTCCCAAGGTGACCGTGACCAGATAAGCAATATAGCAGCCTCTCCTCGTGCAGATGCCAGGCATGGGGTGGGGATGATCCCATCCCACCCTGCAGCATTACGCTTCCAGCCCCAATTACAGTCACTGTTGAACACTAAAATAAGATATTTTGAAATGCTAAATTCAGGCAAGTCATATCTGTGTTCTAGGCTTACGCTTGTTGTATGGGAATGCAACTGCAGTGGCAGCTCAGTGCAAAGGTTTCCTTTCCTCTCAATGAGCCATGATACTCACTGCCTGTCAGAAGAAGTCTAACAGGCTCTCTGGAGGCACTCAACACCAGCTTACTAACTTTCCTGAGATGGTGGTAGTTAAATTCTAACCTCTGAAGCTACTCAAATGCCATTGGCATTCAGACCAGTTCTGCTGCTGCCCTGGCAGCAGTGGCAGAATTCAAGCCTGGGATATTTTTGTATTTTTTTTTGTAGCTGTGTGGTATTTCCTCTGACTTAGAACCTTGATGTGTGAAACACGAAAGCTTTGCAATTTTCCATGGTCCCTGTGAAAGCTGGGCTTTGAAGTCTGTCAGTCAGCTTTTTCTCTGCAGCTATAAAACAAGTCCAGGAGGATCTGAGAAGCAGAGGCTGTTTCCACTGTGTAACCGTGAAATTGGCATTTGCATGCAACAGCCTTTGTAAGGATACAAACTGCAAAGGTTCAGATGCTTCAGAGTGTAGGGCAGGCACCATATGCCACTGGAAAAGGGCCCTGCTTTACCTCTGCTTCAGATAAGACGCAGAAGTGGAAATGGATGGTATTAGATGAGTGACACGGACTAAAGAGGGACCAGCACTGTTCCGTTGTGCTGTTCTCACTTAAGTTGTTTCCTCTTGTGGGGGAGTGCAGGGGACGACAATCATCATCAACTTGTCTTCCGTGCTGAAGGATGAGACAGTCTGGGAGAAACCAAACGAGTTTCACCCCGAGCACTTCCTGGATGCAAAGGGGCAGTTTGTGAAACCAGAGGCCTTCCTGCCCTTCTCAGCAGGTAAATCTGAGGGGAGGATCCAGCTGCAAGTCAGAAGCACAGCAGGAGGGTGATCTGCTCCCTCTGCAGCAATTCTAGCATCGATGATTGCCCTCTTTGACAGACACTTCCTATTCCCTCTCTTGCAGGTCGCCGTGCCTGTCCGGGAGAACAGCTGGCCAGGATGGAGCTTTTCCTCTTCTTTACCACTCTCCTGCAGAAATTCACTTTCGTGGTCCCTGAGGAGCAGCCCAGGCCACGGGAGGACGCTCACTTTGCACTCACGAACTCTCCACACCCATACCTGTTGCGAGCTCTCCCAAGATAAATGCACACCATTCTCCTTTCACTCACAGACCACCACCCACCCAAACTCTGCCAGAAACACTGCAGGTCTAGGCAGGATCATGCCAGCTTCAATCTCAAGTCTGTGCAGAGGGCCCCATCTGTGTAAAGTAAGGATCTAGGCAAACATCTTGTTTAGCTTAATTCTAGTTCTGGTTCTTGAATCAGATGTGAACTTCAGCTTCTACAACAAGGTGACATTAAAATGTAGTTTCAGAGTAGTGCTTCTGAAAAATCTTACCATCCAACACATACATGTCCCCTTCATTCCTTCCTGTTTATTACACCCTCCTGTATGCTGAACAAATACTGCGTTGTCTTAATTTATAGCTTCCAAGAAAGTAAGTTTTAATCCTCACAACCCTTATAACACTATGCCCTCCAGTAGGAGTAAATACCAAGGAGTAGATGAATAATCCATATGATGTTTCAGCCACAGGAGGTCATTTGTGAAATACAGAAATCTTGATAAATACATTTAAAGAGAAATCCTGCTGTTTAGATTTACGATCTCCTCTAATTAAAACTTTTTTTTGTTTGTTTGGTTGGTTTTTTTTTGTTTTTTTTATTACATAAAGTCAGCTCTTGGACAGGTTTGGAACTCAGAAAGGGATGGAGTTATACTGTTTGAAACTGTAGGGCCATAGATTTCAGAGTTACCTTTCTTCAATATTCCTGACAAATTGTTTTGCAAAATGTACAGATAAGTTGATGTTTAAATTAGTGGTAGCTCCCTTACCACATGTGAAAAGACAATAGCACAAAGGAGCTCCTAAGTATAACCACCACTAAAAAAAAATTATCTGAAATTGAGTGCATGTGTGCAGAAGTAATTTTGTGTAGCAGTAATTTTGGAAGCTATGAAAGCTATTGAATTATGTGAATACTTATTAACATAATTAAGATTTGAACTTCAGCAGGAACAGCACATTTATGCTTTTCATCTACAAAATAACTTGAAAGAATAAAAGTGACGTGAAATCTTCTTTCTCTTTGTGGTTGCCTCAGTCCTGCTGTGCTCCTGCCTCAGGTGAGACTCACCTGAGATTTCTCTCCTCACACCCAGCACCATACCTGCGTCTTTCAAGATCATTTCAGTGTTACTTTTCTGGTCTGTTCAATGACACTGAACTGAATGCGTTCGGATTTATAGCGGCCAGTGCATACCCAAGCGTGTTTCAAAAGAACTTTAGAGAGGGTCCCGGTACTCGTGTATTTGGGTAAAAACGTGGGTATAGCTAGAGTAGGGACTGTCTTTCTAGCATGCAAGAGTGTACTGAGAGAAAGTCTAGCTGCACGACCGAACAGCAGCCGCTTACAGCGTTCTGGGGGCAAAGGGAGTTACAGGGAGTTAATCGACCGCTCCAAATCACAGCCCAGCCCTGCCCTGAGGGAGGAGCGGGCTCTGAGGGGCCGAGCGGGCCCGACCGCCTCAGAAGGCGGGGCCCAGGGTGGGCCCGCACCCCCAACCCTTGCAGCAGCAGTGATTGGCGCTTCTCCCGACCAATCGAATGAGAGGTAGCCGGCCCGTAAGGCTGGAGTGGCAGCTCAGCCGGCCAATAGAAGAAGTTGCCGTGCCCTGCGCATTCCCGCGGGCGGCGGGGAAAGTGGCGGCCGCAGCAAGATGGCGGTGGCGGGCAAGGGAGTGGTGTCGGCCGCCGTGAAGCCAATCTTCAGCCGGGACCTTGGCGAGGCGAAGCGGCGCGTCAGGGAGCTGTACCGGGCCTGGTACCGCGAGGTGCCCAACACGGGTGGGTGAGGGACGCGGGGCCTGCCGCGCGGGCTCAAGGTCGGAACGGCCTTAATGACATTGGTGAAGCCGGCGGGCATCGCATGAGCGAGTGACAGTGTAGCGATTAGGGTTGAGTTACACGTTGCCGGTGGAACGAGTGCGGAGCGACGTGGATGATCGCAGTAGGTGTTGTGTTTCTCTTAGTGCACCTGTACCAGCTGGACATCACGGTGAAACAGGGGCGTAACAAAGTGCGGGAGATGTTCATGAAGAATGCCCACGTTACGGATCCACGCGTGATAGACATGCTGGTCATTAAGGTACAGTTCTGTTTTGTTGAAGCTGCAGAGAATGTGGATGACCGGTGGTGAATGTGGTGGAGGAAAGAGACAGCTTTGTACCAGCCTGTCTATGGAGTGGTTGCCTCTTGCAGTTAGATTGGTATATCTATGTCGGCAAACCTGTTTATAAGGGGTCAGGTGGCTTTAGAATTCAGCAAGTGTATGTCAAGCAAAGCGGTAGTTAAAATACTAAGTTCGTTCTTTGTTGCTTGCTTGCTTGTCTTTTTTTGACAACAGCAGTCAAAGAAAGGGGAAAGAGGTGCTGCTCACTAGTTTACTATTAAAAATTAAATTTTCTACCCTCTACAGTCCTTTATTGGATTGGAAAATGGTTTTCTTCCCTGATTCTGAAACATATATTAGTGTCAGTACTTGATAGGAAGCTGGTTTTGGGTAGCAGAACATTCTGTAACACGTCTGGTGGTGTTAGAGGCTTGAGAGATCTGTCTGCTTCAAAGCAATTATCAGCACAACAGGCTTCAAAATGTGTCTGAGCAACAGTAACTGACCTCTGCAGTTCTAATGCATTAGAAAGCCTCCAGCCAAGGACTGTCATGCTCAGCTGTTTTGTTTCTTGCATCTCAAGAAGAGTTACTCTTTCTTTACATGATGAAAAAACCTGGAAACAGAATCCTAGGTAGTATGGTAAGTGACAATTCCAGGCAGTCTTATTTTGCTCTGTGCTACCATCCTATAAAACCAGTATAAAACAATAGAACTGTGAAGAAGTTGCATGGCTCTGTGGCAGTGATACTGCAAAGCAGTAGCTTGGCAGCAGCTCATTTGTTGCTGTTCACCCAAATTCAGTAGAGGTGCTCAAAAGTTAGGAATGTTGTGTAGAATTTTATGGGAGATGCTGGTCAGGAGAGAAACAAAGCAAGTTTTAAGAAGGGAACAGAGTCTCTTGCCTGTTTCACAGGGCTGGGAAGCTGTGCTGCAGAGAAATCAACTTCAGTCCCAAGGCAGGAACAGTGTATTTTTGTCAGTGTAGGTGATGCATGCAGGCTGTACAGTACAGAACTGTTGATGCAGATGTTATTTTTGTAGGTGTTTTTAAGTCGATTCAAATAACTTTCACAGCACTGTGTGGTTAGACTTGGGCTCTAACTGCCAACTAGTCTAAAATCCTTTTGTGTGTGTGCAGGGGAAAATGGAGCTTCAAGAAACCATTAATGTCTGGAAGCAGAGGACTCACATCATGAGGTACTTCCACGAGACGGAAACCCCGCAACCTAAAGACTTTCTGTCCAAATTCTATGCGGGCCACAATCCCTGAGAAACTGACTCTGTGTCTTCCTGCCTTATATTACAAATAAAGTTCTATACAATGGAAAAAAAAATCCATACAAAGAGATTCTCTAGCATCTTAGGAGCCCAATGACTAGATTAATCCAGAGGATGTGCAAGTGATTGTGATCTGTTTGAAGAGCTGTAATTTCCTAGTTTTGCCAATGTGCATTGTCAGTGACTGGTATTTATCCCATCACTTGACTTGGGGTGTCTGCTGAATAACCACAACGCAACCTGGCTGTGGGTCTTTGTGCTTAGCCTGCAGCCCCATCTGTAGATGTTAGCTCTGTGAGGAAAAGGGTGGGCCTTCAGAAAAGCCACTGTACTCACAAAAATATTCTTGTGCTTGAGGCACATATGTACTCATGCAGTGTCGTGCAGTTTCATGCCATGACTTTACTGACCTTGTGTTTTTATTGGACATTAGTCTCAGTTTCTCACAGAGAATATATAAAATCCAATAGGCAAATAAATCCTTCTGCATTAAAACATCAGTAGAGCCCATTTCTCTGCTGTAAAATGAAATTACCTGGAAAAAAGGGTTTGTACTGTTTTCTAGAACAGGAAGCTGAGCAGGAGATGGTGTCCTGCCATCACCTCATCCACTGAATCAGGAATTACTAGTTCCCTTTTGAGAGGGATAAGGAGAATTTATTCTTTCACCAGACAGAACAGGTTTTCAGCAAGTAACTTGGTGCTGGAGCTCTTCCAGATGTGACCAGCACTGGGTATTTGTAGTACACTAAAACTCCCCTTTTTCCAGCCTAAATAAACGTCTTTTTATCCTGCAAGTACTGGGGTTTTCTTCCCCATGAGGACTGTAACACAGCATTCCTCGGGGATGTGGACACAGGTACCTTGGGGCTCCAGGGTTGGTATGTTTTTAAGGACAGGGTTGACAAAGTCAGGAGGAGCTCTGTGCCACTGTCAAGAGGGACTGTGGGACAAAGCAGTGAAAAGGATTTTGGCAGCATATAAAACAGAAGCAGGTACAGTTTGGCTCCCAAGACCATATAAACTGGAACAACCACTTCTCAGGTGGTTTGGGACTCTGATACCAAGTGACCCAGGAACCTGACAGCTGCCTTTAGCTACAACTCTTGGGGTTACTCAGATTACAGGCTCCCTTCTTTCTCAGTAGCCATGCTGGAGAGCTATTGAGCAAACATTAAAAGCTGTGCCAAAGAAGAGGGGAAAAAATGTTGGAACTATACACTGCTCCCACTTCAACAGCAACACCAATAAGGAAGGAAGAAGGGGGCAGTCAAGAGACCAAATCTAGTGACCAGAAACCATGAGACAGTGGGGCAATGCTGGCTTAAGAAAAATAAATAATTTACCAAGCTATCAGGGTTTCATTTTGAGAGGACAGCTGGTCTGATGTGACTCTTCTTGTGCCGTAACAACAGAGAAGACCTTTAAAGTCATATCATACAAGGATTTAAGTGCAATAGCAAACACTTTTATGAAAAGAGGAGTTGAACTTCATGCAGTGAAGAAAACAAATACATTAGGGCTCTTTCAGAAGGAAGGACTGAACTACCTAGGAAATATTAGATACTTGCAGCCAGAGTTCAGAGATTAAGTGCTATAAAAAACATGAGCAAGTTGATTTGCAATTGCTGATCTCAGCCTTTTACCAAAGCCACTCAAAGTTTTAACTGTGATGATAAGACTAACTTCACCTCACTGAAGATGAAAGACAATGACACAGTTCCCATCTGATACAGCTGCTACATTGTTGAACCACAGTGCCATTGTTGATGTGCACTCTGTTCTTTAACAGAACTGTGTTGTGGGGCTGCTGCTTCCCCTAGGATTCCCCATGTCCTGTAGATCAGTACTGAGTTACTGAAAGGACTCAAACGAGAAAATAAGCATGAGCAGAGCATCCCTGCTGGAACAGACATACAGACAGAGAAGGGTTAAGACAGAAATGCTAGGACATAGGCAAATAATGTATAAAAACACAGGACTTAGTTGCACATGTCAATCTCTTAACCTTTAATTGTTTCCCATGTTGCTAATTCAAGGCATCCCAAGCAGTCTTTGATGAGGTGAGCATGTGTGTGCAAGGACACAGGGCCTATCAAGCATTTCCTTCAACTCTGATCTACAGATTTCCAGCATACAGAGATGTGCAGGACACTCACTGGCAAAAGGGGATACAAAGCCCCCTGTTCACTTTAGGAAGGACAAAACACAGGTGACAGATGTTGGAACCATTGTTTTGTCAATGGCTTTCTCCTTTATGTTCTTCTGTTCCAGTGCTGCAAATAGAAAAACAAGCTGTTAGAGATACATTACTGAGCTGCAGTCTATCCTCCCAAAACTATACAAAATGACATTTACATAAAGGGAGTTTCCAACAGGCCAGTGCAGTCTTTGCAATCTTTTAAGTTTTAGCAATCCTTTAAGTCTTAGCTTTTAGCTGCACAGTGCACACTGGAAAACCCCTTAATAACTGGAATACACCCACCAAACTGATTATAAATCTACATTATTTACAACAACTTCTCTGAAGTAGTTTCCCTGATCTATAAAGACTCAAATACACCAAACACAGGAGTAGCTAAACAGAGTAATAGAAAATGGTACAAAGTGTAGCATAGTGCAGATAAAG